AATTTCAATTTCATTTTGACAATATTGTTGATATAAATCAGAACGATCTTCTACATGTACTTCAATAAAACCACATTTTTCAAAAAGCTTTAAAAAAACAAAAAGAATAAAAACAATTCAAAAATTTTCATCGTTTTTTTCTTGCTGTATTACTTCAGCATATTCTTGTATGGGTGTTATAGTATACATGCCAGAACGTGCATAATCAATAAGATCTTGTGAAAATGGTGTATTACCACAACAGAAATCAGTAATTAATAAACGACCACCATGTTTAAGCCATGTATAAAAATTATTAAGTAATGCTGTTTTATCCGAAACATGAAACATGACATCACGACTTAAAAAAATTCAATATTTAAAGTTGTTTTTTAGGAAAAAAAACCAAAGTTTCTTTTTATTACCTATAAATAGCATCAAATTTTGATGGTGCAAATCTCATTTTTGTACCATCACCAACTTCAAAACGAATTCGATGTCCTTTATACGATAAAGCGCGATCCCATGCTAAAATTAAACCATATGAATAACTTTCAAAATCAAACCAACATCTTGTTTTACTTAGTACCAATGCCGATCATGTTAGCTGAAATATCTACACCGACAATTTCACAACCATAATCCTATAAGAGTAAAAAAGAAACTCAATTTTTTGAAAGAAATAATTTCTTTTTTTTTTTAATTATAAACTTGAGAAATTTGAAATGAACTTCCACCAGTTGCACTACCAAAATTTAATAAACGTTGTGATGATGTTAAATTAAGTCGTTTTATAAGTTGTCCTGTTAATTCAGCACCACCAATAGTAACATAACCTTCTCCACGTACAGATTCATATTTTTGTATACTTTTAAGAGCATATTCAGAGTGATCAAGAAAATCTTGTAATGTTTTATAACCATGAAGATTTTGTAAATTTGTTTTTAAAAATAGAAAGCAAACCTAAATAAATAAATAAATGTTTCTTTTTTCTTTTAATTCTTCTCTTTTACTTGATTATTATTATTTTTTATTTCATAATATGATTCCAATGCTTTAGCAAAAATAAGTTCATAAACTTGATCATGTGGATGTTCAGGTGTACCATTTAATAAGCGTGATTGACATATATCAATATATTGTCGTGGTGAACGATAATATGTTGGATTTTCATCAGGTTTGATATTTCCTATAAAAATAAAAAGAATTATATCGATTCATTCGATAATAAAGGTCAAACATAGTACTGGAGCCAGAAAAATTCTGGAGGAGAGAGCTGAGCCCCCGTCTAAAGCTGAAAATAAGTATACCCTTCCAATTTTAATTAAACATCGTTCAAATGGAAGAAGAACTATAGGGAGTCCGAGAGTACCAGCCTGATTTTCGAAGAGATGCTGACTTCTAGGATTCTACACTAGATGAAAAGCTGAATCCTGAAAGAGCTCAAAGATTCCTGTAGGGACTCAGTCATCAATCGAAAAACATCAGAAATAACACAAAATGTGTACATAGAGCTGTTAGCCGATCATTTGATTGGCGGCGGCGACAACGACAAAATTTTTCCTATGTTAGTTTACAGGATCTTTCGTAGGTCCCTACCATTAAGGTAAATATTAGACGTTCTGTTCTCATAGAATTATAACGCTTTTTTCTCTTAGTACGCTCATGTCTTTTTATGCAAACATTTTTCCACTAGATGTAACTTTATTTTCATTAATTCATAAAATTTACACTGTCCCATCATACAATAACTTCAAATCACACAACAATAACTCATCATATAAGCCAAAATAGCAATAGTGTGACTATTCATCTAAAATACAAATTAAATTTAAGCATGGTAGCTTGGAACTGGCACTTTATCTTTACTTTACCAAATAAAGTAAAGTATTAGAACTTTACTTTACCTGGTAAAGGAAAGGAAAATGAAAAACATGAAGTTGTATGTTTTAATTTTTTTGGCAATGTCTTAGTTCAGGATCATGTATAAGTAATCTTAGAACGTATCAAAGTTTATTCAGTATCGTTTCGTCTTAAAATTAGTGTGAAAAAAAATAAGTAAAGACGAAAAATGTCGATTTTTTATGAATACAATGAAAACTATTGGTCGGTTAACTTTATCCCACTTTATTTGCTACATCCAAACTATAGTATTTTATTTTACTCTACTTTACTTTACTTTTTCAAAGTAAAATAAAGATAATATGTGATACCTCGATGGCAGCTCGAATTGGATCATAAGTGAAACTAACATTAAAATTTGAATTTGAATTCAAATTCAAATTCAAACTAAATATTTTGCTTGTTTTCTAAACTGGCAGGAAAATATCGATTGAAATTCGAATTGCAATGTTAGTTACATTTATATTCGATCTCAAACTAGACAGTTAGTCAAAACTGAATACTGAATAAGTCAAAAATCGCGAAACGGAGAATATAATAGCGATGAATCCATTGCGCACAAAGAAACAAGGCAAATGAGAACCTAATCAATATGGTAGCGCCACAAAATCACACGAAGACATATTTGCTTATCAGCTCGGTTTTCAGACCATATGTCATCCAAGAAGAAATACACTAATTTCTATTTTTTAAAAGTTCTGTTGGTTTCCGCAATCTTTAATTGTCACATAGATCAAACTTGAGATGTTACTGATTATTTTCAACAAGTGATAATTTAGAAAAAGAGGAAGCTTGATCTATGATCTTTCACTCGATCGACGGCGGCGGCGGTGGAAAAGTCCTCGCCAAGACCTTCTATTCAGCGGCGGATGAGAATTTTATCGGTGGCGCCGGTGAAAAAACGGCGGCTAACATCTCTATGTGTACATATATGATTATTGAACTATTTCAAATCAAATAACAATACTCATAATATAGTAAACATCTTTGATATGTTATTCTTGATGAAACTATAAATTTGAATATAAAGTTTAATAAACCTGAAGAATGAAAGCAGGATTCACGAAAAAACAATGTTCCGCCTGGTGTAAGCCATGAAAGACTTTTTTGTAAAAGTTGTTCAGTTTCTTCATCCGAAAGATACATGAAAAGCCAATTGCTAAAGACAATATCAAAGCTACAAAAAAAAAAAGTAAACAAAACAATAAATTATTCCTTATTTGCTATCATAAATACCTATTTGGTTCAAATGATAATTGTGTTGCATCTTTATGTAAAAATTCCACTGTACCATAATGACTATTCTCTTCTCTATTTTTTTCTAAAAAACTTTCCATAAAATCAACAGCAACAACAGATTTAGCTAATTGAGCAAATCGTTTTGTAAAACGTCTAAAATGTAATTATAAAAAAAAGAAAACAATAAGATCACTATTTGTTTTACTTATACTACAAATACAAACCCAATACCAGCTCCCAATTCAAGTATACGTTTACCATCAAGATCAGGTAAACATTCGAGTATTTCAGGATATTCAAATTGATTAATTTTATCAGCATTTGTATCAAGCATCATACTTTGAAGATTTGGGTTTGAATTACGTTTCCAATATGTAACCATTGTTGCACGATTTTCAGATGCTAGAAAATAATTTATAGAATTAAAAAAGAATTTTATTTTATAATATATATATTTTCTCTTTTACCTGAACTACTTGACCGTCCTTGTTTACCCATTTCATCTTCACTAGTCGAAAGTGGACATTCACTGGTTTCTGGCATTGTTTATAATTTCTTTCAGTTGAATTACACTTCTAACAACAACAAAAAAAGAGAAAAGACATGTATCTATTCAGGGTATGAATCAATGATCTGAATATTAAGATTCAAACTAGTCCATTTATGTAAGTTATAATTTTTTCTCTTTTTTTTTTTTTGTTCTTCTTCATTTTCTGTACTGTGTATATATCTTATCAGTTAGTATATGATGTGAATATAGACAAGCGATGCATATGACTTTTCAAAGTACAAAAGACAACCAACATAACAAATAGAAAGAAAAATAAATACCCCTGGGTATAAGGTACTTAAAAATATTGTGACATCACTGACTAATAATAAGATACGAACACTTTGTCTTCAGCAAAACCAATTATTTCGATTTATTTTTATTCGTTAAAATTCTCAAGTATAAAGTTCATGATAATTCAATATTCAGTTCGTTTTGTGTTTGAAATAGAATAAGACGAGAATACTAATCCATTGAGATAACATTATTTTTATTTTTGAATTCTAGATTTGTATTCTTGCCATGTATGAATAAATACATGACATATCCATTTAAATCTAGGTAATATCTTGTTTTTTTTTGATACGAGAACAGAGTTAAAGACAATCTTTAATTACATTACAAAAAGCTACTTCAGTTGTTTTGACTTCGACTGATAGTTTTTCTACGAACATTTTTCTATCTCGCACAGTATCTTTCGGTCTTTTGACGTAACTAATATGGGAACACTCCAGCTGTGATCGAAAACAGCTCTATTCTCGAAGAATAAATCATCACTCTTAAATTATCTTTAATTTGTATTTTTCAATTTAAAAATTTGATTAAATCGTTGGTGATATCATATATTTTTCGAATGATACTCAATAAGATAAATCTTTATTGAGAAAGAATCACAGCCATTGTTCGTCCATTTTCTACGCACATTCTTTTAATAAGATAGTTAATAAACATCTAATGGTCACCATTACTGTCCTTACTTTTATCAAGTTCTTGCGTTATATTCTTAGAAATAGAATCGATTCATGTTTTTTGGAACCGAACTCAACTGATCTAGACTTTTTTAGAAAATTCGAGTTGAACTGATTCCATCTCTGTTATGTATTGTATTATTTGAGAACTTTGTTTTTCAAAAATATATTTGATACCATACTGATTAAGATATTGATGAATAAACAGATTTCTATGATGGAAATATACATATGTTTCTTTTTTTTTCAAATACTACACGATTACGATCAGCTTTATTTTTAATGTGTTTGCTTAAAATTATGGACAATAATCAAAGAATTAAGAAAAAAAAGATATTATCGTTCAATAGAAGAATGTTAAATTAAGATTTAAGTTTTTCTTCTTCAGGACAATCAGATTGACAATTTGGATGTGCTTCTTTGAATGCAGGAAGTTCATTTAATCTTTCTTCAATAGCTGTCATAATAGGATATGGAGTTAAATCAACTTTAAATCTAAATATAAAATAGTTATAAAGATAAGTAGATAAATAAGAAATGAATATATATAATTATATACCGTCGTGCATTATAAAGTTGAGGTACAAGACAACAATCAGCTATTGAAATTTGATCACCTACGCAATATTGCCCTGCTGATTCTTCAAGAGCTTTTTCTACCGCTAAATAAAAGTTAAATTATATGTAAAATTCTAGTTGAATATAAATTCGTTAATTCATTTACCATCGAGTCCTACTTTAATAAAATGATGTGCCCATTCACCTTTTTTTTCGTCACCAACACGTTTAAGAACAGTTAAATTTTGCAACGGCTTTATATTAAAAAAGCAAAATGAGAAATAACCGATAGAGTGAATAAACAAAATAAAAAAAAAAAAGGAAATAAAAATTACCTGAATACCAGATGCAATGATTTCACTAATCAAACGAGCCTAAATCAAAGAAAAATTTAAATGATCAAATTAGAAAATCGATTTTATTTCTCTTGTAATTTCATTCTGTATAACCTGGTAACGTTGATAAGGATCTTCCGGTAAAAGTCGAGGTTTAACTTGATGTGTTTCATCAATATATTCAATTATAGGAAGCTGAATAAAAACAAAAACAAACATAGAAACACTAATGCAGTTTTACTTAGGTCGACATACTGATTGTAGAAATGTTTTTCCACCAATAATAAGTACCTAAACGGTAAAGATTGTATTAATTTGTAGATTAATTCAAAAGATTTTTTTCTTACGATACACTTTGAAAAAAATGACTTTATTTACTTACTGGAACTTCACATTTTGGATTGAGCTTTTTATGTTCATCCGTTGACTAAAAAGGATAACTCGAATAACACAAATTATTTTTAATAAATAAACAATAACATACTGTTTCCCCTTTAAGAAGATTAACTGGATGAATTATATAAGGAATATTTTTCAAATTCAATGCTAATAGAAAAAAAACAAATAAACATTGTGTTTTGTTTTCGAAACAGACTTACCAATTCGAACCCGATATGAACATGAACTGCGATAATATGAATATAAAATTGGCTAATGCACAAAAAAAAAATAAATTGCCTTTTTTTTTTAATTAACGCATTCTCTAACCTTTATATTAGAGCTTGCCATATTTATTAAATCTAGAGAACAATAATAAAAGAAAAAAAGACACCTGTTTTTTTCTCTTTTTCATTTCTTATCTTTAACTCCTCTATATAACTTTTATTTGACGATAATAAAATCACGTATATATACAATATAATAACATACTACACATAAAGATAAAAAGATAGAAAATTTCTCAAAAGACTCATATGTGTTGATTCGAATCAAAGTAAAACAAAAAGACATTATGAATGAAGTCATCATGTGATATCTTATTCAAAAAATTAAATTTCCATTTTCATATTTGATATAGATACTAATATGTTGAAATAAAACTTAGTTGACTCAATAGATATTCATATTATTTATCTGAAGATCGATGATGGTATTTTACAATATCATTGCTACGAATGTATCAAGTATAATTTGCACCAAGTAAGACATGATAGAGAAGATGTTAGTCAAAATGAATGAGTTAGTTGAAATTCATTTTGAACTTTTAAAATATGTGTACTTAAGGGATGAAAAAAGTTTTTAGCGTTTTGCAACTTTCAAGTTGACTCATCTACAAATGAATATTTCTTTTTAATCTCCTCTCAATCAGTTGATTTATCATTTGATTCTGGCTTTGCTCTCGAATTAAAAATTTTGTAGACAAACTTTTTAAACTTATAATGCATGGAGGAAAAAGAAAAGTAAAGTGCCATCCATTGTCATTTTCCTTGTAATCAAGCAATAAAAGCGCCGCAATATCAACAACCTACATTCTAGGTGAAGTATGTATGTACAAATTTTCAAACCTTCAGTACTTATAATGGTCGAGACGTCTGGAACGATTATTCTTGCCAGTTACTATACATAAATAATCATAAATTTATTATTTTATATGAAAAAAAA